CCTTCTAGTGTTTATTTACTTTTGATTTTTCCTCGTTGATTTCATCTCTCCCTTAACTCCTCCTTAGCCACCTCATTACCCTACCTATATTTCCTCCTACTTTACCCTGGCCTCTAATATGGCGAGCTAAAATGCCGGTGACTAGAATAGTGCCGACCTTAACTAATAAATCCGAGATGTTAGTGTTACCCGCCGCTAACCCTAGCTACTTAGTCTCTACTAACTCATCGTGTTATAGTACTTCGTACACGACTCGAAGCTTCCCGAGGTCCTTAGTCTAGAGATCTAGGAGATGATTAGATAGGTAGGCAACCTACCCTTACTTCGTCCTGCTAGCTTACTGACACCTCTTAGTTCGCGGAATACTTAGGTACCCGCGTTGAAGAGGAGTTACCACTTACCTAAGCTATCGTTAACATTAATAGTATCGATGCTTTCGCTACGCGCCTCCTTAATATGAATGTCGACCTGAAAGCCGCGTTCGATATTGTCCTTGCTATCTATAATATTGAAACTGCTTCTCCACTAGGCCTTGTCTCGGCGGAAGAGATATCCGACGCTAAAGATATATCTGACGCGGAGGAGACTTCTGACGATGAGGAAATAGAGTCCGAATACGAAGAGAACGAAAAGACAGCATCTAAAGCTAAACTTAAGCGGACTTAAATCACTACGACCGTGACGATAGGTGGTATAGCGACCCGGAAGAAGGGAGGTAAGGCCGTTATAGATTCGATATTACTAGTGACTCTAGCTAAGGGTAAGGGAAAGACTCTATAGACCCCTAGTAAGTAGTCCACCACCCTTAGTATAATAGCTAAAACTCCGCGTCCTCTTAAGACCTCGGTATTAGAATATATAACCGTCTTCTAGGGTATAGCTATTATTAATAAGATTATGGAGTAAGCTTTAACTATTTACGAAGAGCCTAATGTACTCGATAGCGACGCTGACGAGGATGAGGCTTAGTAGCTCGAAAGTAACGCTAGCTACGGTTACATTATAGACGGGACGCCTCGTAAGGCTAATAAAGCCGGCAGTAAGCGCGAGAGCCGGGTATTGAAGCGCGAGGAAGCCGTCGCGATCGTCGACTGTCTGACTTCGGTTATCGGCGCCCGAGGATTTGAAAATCTATAAAATATTGTTACCGCCCTTTAGGAATCCGGCGAGGATCCTGGCGCCGCTTAGCGGGTTACCTTCGCCTCTTAAGTAGTGGGCTATCCTCTTGAAAAGGATTTCTTATAGATATTTAGTACGCTTCTATAGAAGTTAGAACTAGTTAACTTAAAGGCTGCTAAAGTATACCGCGACTATATAATTACCGTGGCTTAATATAACGTTTACTAGTTGTATAAGAAGCTTAAGAACGCTATTAATGTTAATAGTAACGACTACGACCTCGAGCTATATAAAGATATAATAGCCTTAGTGCCTAGCCTATAATGTGGCGTTAGTGGTGCTTCGCTTATACGCATCTATACTACTAATGTTGCCTGTGTTCTGGTAGGAAAGGTCGGAGATATTATCGAGTGAAGTGTCGCTATTGGTGAACTCGCCGGGGCGATGGGTGGCGCTGGTATTCTTCCTCTCCTTCCTCCTAATGTGTATACTATGTAAGTTTCGATCTCTGTCGCGCCGAGTTCGTGTTTTGTAGTATCGTACTTAACCGTCGGGCAGTATACGCGACATCCTACGCCGGCCTCGTCGAAACTTGGTTACTATGGCTATTAAGAATTTACTAGTTATCCCTTATATCGCTAAACTTCTCGAAGTCCTTGTCGCTTACCGCCTCGCGGCTGGCCTAAAGCCTCTCCTCGGGGCCGTGTCTATAACTGAGCGTGGTGATACTATGATTATTCGCTATCGTAATGGTCTCCGCGCTACTGAGAAGGACCTTAATTCTGACGACGAAATGGCTGACCTAGAATAGTTAATGCACTATGAGTGAGAGCTACCGCTTAGTCTAGGTTGTGTATATGATGGAGTCGACGCGGAAGCACCTAGATGCTAGGTAGTAATGGCTGTGTATAATGGAGTAGATAAGGAAGTATATAGGTGCTAGGTAGCTAAAGCTACGTCTCGGGTGGTTGAATGCTCTAACTTATTTCGACGCCTCGGGGAGTTTAAATAGAAAGATAAAGTATAGTGTGGCGCTAAGGTAGATAGGGTACTGCGCTACCGCGCTATATATATTCTTCGTATGTACCCTAGAATAAAAATATATAAGTATGAGAGTTAATAAGGATAAAAGCGTCCTCGTCTTTAAGTATAAAAGTCTATAAGTAAATATTAAAGATGAAAGTATATAAGTATATAAGTATAAAGGCGTAAGTATAAAGGCGTAAGTATTAAAGTGTAGGCATTAAAGTGTAGGTATTAAAGCGTAGGTATTAAAGTGTAGGTATTAAAGTGTAAGACCGAAGATATAAGTATGAAAGCGTAAGTATAAAAATATACGAGTATAGTGTTGAAGCTTATAAGTGTATAAGAACGAAACCGTAAGCATAGGAAGCCTAGAGTAGCTACTGAAGCCTCGATCTTTCTACCTACTCGGGAGTTGAAATGCCGGAAAGCTGCGCTTCATTATAATAAACCTTCTAGCCGTAGTGTATTCTCGTGCCCTCCTACCCTGTCTTGTTCTCTAGATTAGTGGTCCGCTTTTCGTTTTCCTCGGTCGCAGCCCGTTCCTTTACCGTCGGCCTAATCTGCACCTTCTCGTCGCTTAAGCTCTACTTCTCCTCCTACGTCCGGGTAATCTTCTGGAACTTCGGTTAGTACTCTTAGGGCGAAAGAATTAACTATTAGTAGTATACCTCTAATAAGTCCTTAAATTAGTTAAGTTAACCTCGGTCCTTAAATTTCTAGTACCTATTCCCCTCTATTAGCGTCCGCTCCTATTCCTTCTCGGTAACTCGGAGTCTGTCGAGGCACTTAACCTCTACGTCCTTATCGGTTACGTACGGGCACTCTAGGTCTATTAAGATATGCTCTATAATATTAACTAGTGCCTCGGTGTGCTATATCTTTCCCCCTATTACTAGCGACTTAGTTATAGAAAAGACGGAGTAGATGTAGCCGGTGGGTAAGATAAGCGTGTTACCTTCTTCTAGAAGCACCCCGATCGGAGTAGGTAAGGGGGACTAGTGTTCGTAATCTATTCCCTATTTGCGCACCGTCTTTTAACTTAGCCCTCGCTATAATAGAAAGAGTGCCTTCGCACCCTTCTCCGCTCTTAGGAAGGTGACTATACTCGTATAGTTATAGTGCGCGATATTTAGGGTCTTTACTTTAGTGTATAGGGTAAACCGTGATGTGCTGCTTAAATCACTCGGCCGCTGTAGGGTCTGTTTCCCCGTTACCGGGTCCCCCTCGTATACGGCCTCGATGAAGTTATACTCTTGAATGCCGGCGAAGTAAGCCGGTGCTTCTGCGTTAGGGTGACGGGATAGGTTGAGGAAGTTGTATAGTGCGGTCTTCTCGTTATTTATATCCGCTAATGCCTCTTCCGGGCGCTTCGTGTAAGTTCGGGGAGTTGACCTGGTTCTGTCGCCGAGCTTATAGTATTCGACGCGAGATTTGTAGAGTAGATATCGCTTATATACTTCGGGGTCGAGGAGCCGCTGGCTAGGATTGAATGCTGTAGGTATAAGGATGGGTAATCGTGGAGTAGATAACTAGAGTAGGCTGCGCGTATCTTGGACCGAGGCTACTACGATTGACGATTATAGTAAGATAGACGATAGTTCTTCTTCGATATTGGGGCTCTAGAGCTAGAGTCTATACTCGCCTACTGTCTGCGGTAGAACAGTATGTATGCGCTTAAGGTTAGAGTTAATCGCCTCGAGGTACTCCCTAGCCAGCCTTAGTAGCTTTACGTGCGGCGTGAAGGCGGGAAACTCGTCCTAGTATTCCTTGATTATGGCCTGTACTTCCGCGCCCGTATTAATCGCCTTCTTACCGTACTCTAAATAGTACTCTACCGTGACGCGTTTATTGTCTCTCTTCTCGTCGATGGCATTATCCTTAACTCGATCTACGTCGCTATCGTCATTATTCCCGTCTTCTTCTTCGCTGTAGTTATCTTTAAGTCGGTCTCGCACCCGAAATTCTCGAGGCATCGGCTCTCCCGGATGTTCTTCTACGTAGTGTGAAGTACGTGTGCCTATATTAAGCTAGGCTCGCCCGTAGCTGTTACAGCGGAATTCTCGCACTACTTAAGTTGGAGAAGGGTTGCTGTTATACTTTTTAGCGTAGTGGCGGTTGAGGTGTCCGTATCTCTTTATGTAGTCGTAGCCGGGGAACTGGTACACTTGTTTAAGGCGATTGTAGGGCCCGTAGGAGGATTGTCGCTTCTTTTGAGGGGGTTCCATCGTATCTATACGGGTGTCGGTTATCGTCGGTTTAGATGGTAGGTAGATAGGGAATGAGGACGAGGTGAGGTCGGCCGCGCTAGGTAACTATGATTTTCATTATTAGGGGGTAACTTGAAATGTAGCTCTGTCTTTAGCGAAGGTAAGATAATAATTAAGGGTTAAGAGACTCTCGAAGAGTGTACCGAAGTGGGCGGGGAGGTGTATTAACGGGGGAGTTAGGGGTACTGGTGGAGTAAATCGTAGGCTACGACTTAGGGATGATAGATTATTCTGAAAACCGTATGTTTATTACGTGACTATATACCGCCTGCGCCTACACCTACCTCGATTTCGACTCTCGGGGGAATTGAAACTACTCTATCATTCCTTAGTTGTAATCGTCGTTATTATTATGGTAGGTCTTTCCTCTTACTGCGCTATAGTGCGCTAGAGCTTGCTACTTTAACCTTGGTATATCCTTAGACCGCGTCTCGCTATTGTCCCCTACCTAATTTAAGTTAAAGTCTTCATCTATCTAAGAAGGACCTCTAGTGAGACTCGAGTATTATTTCCGGCGTTGTGCTAGCCGTCCTAGCCCGCTTCCACTACACTATACCTCTTAGCCACTTCCTCTAATCTAGTCTTCTCCTAAGACGACGTCAGCGCTATTTCCATTAGTGCGAGATCGCACCGTTTAGCGTCAGCGAACGTGATCCTAAGACCCGATAGCCACTTCTCGTCTCCGTCCACTGAATGACTAACGATAGCCACTTTGTTGCCGGCAGGGACAACCTCTTCGACGAATTTCTTAACTTCACCCACGATATCCTTCTCGCTGACCGTGTGGGAGTCTCCGAACGTAAAGCCGTATTTGTTGCCGGCGATATATGTCCCGTTGTATAAGTCGATGGTTTCCTTAAGGATGTAATGTCTTGACGTTATCTCATGTGGTATAGCGTTAGTAGTCCTCGTGATCGATGAAAGACCTATTTCTAAGACTAAACTGCGATTAAGCTCGTACGCCTTAACGTCTACGGCGACGAGGCTGGTTGAGCGGTTTTGCACTAATTCTCCTAGGAACATTAGATAAGTGACTGCTTTATCGAGGATCCGCAGCTGTCTTATAGTGGGAACTGTGTTTAGAGGCGGCGGCGGCGGCTTTAAGGGTAACTTAGTAAGAAGGAGGTAACCTAGATTAATAAGGTGTTAGGATAGGAATGGCTTATAGTTAATAAGCATGGGCTGACTAGTTCGGACTACCGGGTACGCTAGTCGTGCAGCTTCTATTTTAGCGTCTTTCTTTTTGGGGGCCTGGGCCGAGGTCGTCACAGTATTTCCGTCTATTAGTTAGACCGTCACCGCGATCTCCTAGCCCGCGACATAGATAGTACCTATAGTGAAGGTGACTTCGCGTAGGAAGCCGGCTTACCGTAGCTCGAGGAGTCTGTTGACGGGACTCGGTGATTTCTGTTCTAGTCTATTAAAGAATAAACTAATAACCTCTCCGTACTCTGTGTGTTCATTAAACTTGTCGATGTTAATGGGGGTTGCCTGTTTATCTATACCGAATTCGCGGGATTAGCGCGTCGGGGACGATGGTGATGTAGACGGGGATCCGCTAGTCGAGGCCGTTAGGTAGCTCGAGGTGTAGTTATCGCTTGACGATCTCCGTGAAGATATAATGGGATGTGCAGACGATAGGGAAGTGATGAATGTAATGGTATAACAAAACGAGACTTAAGAGAGACGAAATGCAGAAGTTCTCGAAGAATCGAAGTATAAGCTACGAGAAGACGACCCCTATAACGGAGGATAGGCTATGTGTTGACTAGAAAGGCGGAAAAGATCCGACGTGTTGTGGTCCGGTAGATTAACTACTTAGGCTACTGGACGAATACGAGTCGCCATTAGGTATTCTTTCTACTCTTATCACTTAATGGCGCGCGACGGTGCTTCGTAATGGCCCTCTCTTGACCCCGAAAATCCACGATTCGCTCCTTAGATCCTTGCCCGAATCGCTTGTCTAATCCGTGTATAAAAATACCCTCCTAGCCCTATATTACCCTAACCTAGTCGAAATAGGTGTCTTGGCCCCCTAACCCTAACCAGGATGCTTAAGGCGCGCTATTTAAGACCTTTATTTTCTCCCTTAAGGTCCTTACGGAGACCTCTTCTTTTTTACTTCACTAAGTCTTATAGTCTCTAGCTAGATCGGTCGTAGTATCGTCTCTCCGTTATCCGGTCGTTGTTCTTAGTCTCTAAGTCCAGTTACTTCTGCAATATAACTAAACAACTCCCGGTATTCCGTACGCGCTACGTTCGTCGATCGAGCAGTGCCGAGCAGATAACTATATCTATACGCGACTCCATCGCCCTCGACGTCATTGTGTCTATAAGGCCCACGTACGATCGCGCACTAGAGGCCTCGGGGACTGTGAAAAGAAACTATCTTCTGGCCGAAGAGCGTCCTCGAGGCTCTCTACGTACACTACATTATAGCAAGAAGCGCCGCGTTAAAGTCGCTTCAATGTCTACGAGTGGAGCTAGACCCGGTCTAAGTCTGAGACCACCTATTTCCGCACCCCGGGGAGCCTAAATCGACCGCTCTAAACCTAACTAAGTCTCTACTGTCGCTACCGCGGCTATTCGTGCCGCTTCCTCGGACACGGAAAGCTTAGGCGACTCCGATTCGGGGGAATTAGCTTTCACCGGCCCAGTAAAAAGGAGAGTGATCGTATATGGCTCGAGTATTACCGGTTCTACGAGGTCGTCGGCGCATTCTAACCTAACAACTCGCGGTCTGGCCGTCGTCGAGGGCTCTAACCTCTCGCGGCAGCTACCGATCCAGCTTCCGACGGCTACGCGGCCTTTAGATACGAACCTCGAGTTCGGCATCTCCGATACCGACGTAAGGTTTTCTTAGGACGAGCTAGATATACTAGAAAACCTTATATCGATACGATACGTATAGCCTAACTCTATCCCGGATAGCGAAGATAACTATAATAGTCCTCCGCCCAGCAGTCCTCTCTTAGAGGCGGCCGCGGATCGTACGCAGCTGCCCGCATCCTTAATGGCGCTTAATGTAATCATCGACTATCCGGACCGTCGACGCAGCCCGACTAACCCCGTCTAATTTGCCGGTAACGAACAAAACTTGGATGGTGCGCATCGTGCCGAGGAAGCCGATCCACTCGACCGTGAAACGCTCTTCCTCGAACTGCGCGAAAGCGTAGAGCACCTTTTCGACTTGCTGGCCGGCGTCCGAAGTATATGTACGAATCGTGACTATACCCGAGCCTATACTTAATATGAATTAGAGTGCGTTAATAACTACTACGACCTCTCGACTATATATCGATCCTAGAGCGAGGATAAAGGCCCGCGCAACGCCGAGATCGGACTTGATAGTGACAACTTTCCCGTTAATAGTGGTCGGAGAAGGGCAGACTATACGTCCGTAGTAACGCTGCGATCTATCTTTGAAGGATAGGCGGGGCCTAAAGTATCTATTCGCAACGTCTGCCTGTATAAGGAGACGTCGTATATTGAACCCGCAGTACTAATCTCGAAGTATGACGTCGATAGTATTTAAGCCCGTCTGTCCTTACTCGCGGCTATTAAACAGGGGATCGAGTGGTGTCCTATTAAGTTGTTATCTTATAATATTACGAAAGACATCTATATATACGTTAGTGTCACGTTCTGTAACGATAACGGCTAAGAGAGGACTAGAACCGTTCCTTATAAAGATATTCCCTATATGTACCTCGGGACTTAGGGTTAGGGTTAGGGTTAGGGTTAGGGTTAGGGTTAGGGTTAGGGTTAGGGTTAGGGTTAGGGTTAGGGTTAGGGTTAGGGTTAGGGTTAGG